AGTATCCTATACTTCCCTGTACTCGTATCTAGAGTTTCCCTGCTACAAATACACCCCAGTTTGGCAATTATTGACAACCCCAAGGCGTTCATTGTGTTATTTATAGTTTTAGTTTGTTTAAATCTAAAAATCTACATGTATATAGTCTACATAACCTAAAAGTGTGATTAGTAAAACGTCAAAACCAGCTGTTAATTTTGAAGGGATGTGGTGGCGCCTGTAAGGGGCGTGGCCGAACGCATAGGCGTAGCATAGCAGGGTAATTTTCAAAAATAATTAAAAATAGTAATTAATACAGTAATAACAATTAATTTTAAGGTGAAAGTATGTGATAGATAAAAAATAATTATTTATTAATTATTATTACCTATAATTAAAAATTAGATACAAAAAAGTATGTTTACGTTGAAGTTTACTATACTACAATTTATTTTTATTATTGTTTAGTGTTTCGTTGAGTTCATTTATTTATGTATATATATATATAAAATTAAAATAGTACGTACACAACGTTTATTGCTAATATCAATTGTTTGTTTACGCATCGAGGTCCATCATAAACAAACAAATAGGACTTGGGAGATAAGTACAATGCACCCACAACAACGTGTTGTTTGTATTTTAAATTAAACTGAATAAAACAAAACGGCGAAAGCGTTTGTCTTTTGTTTCCAAAAGTTTCTAAGGTTTTGTTCGTTGCATTAGTGCGTTTAGAAAGGGATTTTTGTGTTATCGATTTTGTAACCTGTTGCGCTTGTGCTGATGAGGTCAATTGTTGATTTCCTCGGCAATAATCAGCAATACGATCGGGTGCCGCAAGAAGACTTAACAGATTGCGAGACTGAAGAACAAGATACATTATTAACGTAAGATAAACATTCTACACTCATTTTAAGTGCCTTTTACTATATATATAGTGTTGCCCCGATAATAATTTTATATATTCCACGTGTAACAAAAGAAAAGTTCCAGTGGCGTAGCTTAAGAGACGTTAAATAATAATATTGGTGTATTTATTTTAGCAATATGGAAGCTAGAACCGAACATCAGCAGACTAAAAGGTACAATTTCCTGTATGGAATAGCAACAGGGGTGGGGGTTGCTGTTATTTGTTTGGTGCTGTTTTGGTGCGTGCATTTTAGGAACGGGTTCTCCTGGTCTTCAGACCCGGCTCTAGAATTTAACTGGCATCCCCTGTTGATGACCACAGGGATGATATTTCTTTACGCGCAATGTATGTGGTTGTCTATATATTTGTGAAATAGTAATGGTGTCCCATTTTGTGATTGGTCGTATTTTTTTTTTTTAGCTATTCTAGTTTATAGAAGCGCAAGGAATTTTCGTAAAAAACAACTAAAACTGGCCCATGGATTCTTGCATTTGATGGTATTCATTTTGACAGTTATAGGGTTGAAGGCTGTTTTCGATTCTCATAATCTGAAGTCACCACCGATTCCGAATTTATATTCTTTACATTCCTGGATTGGTTTGCTAACGGTTATCCTATTTACCTTGCAGGTGTGTAAAATAAACAATTAATTACACGGGGTTAATATCAAAGTACGGGCTGTTCTTGGCCGGTAGATTTCGAATTTATTGGTTCCCATCGGCACGCAATAGGCAATTTTGCTAAATCATCTTGCAAGAACTTGATATTCTTTATTAATAATTAATTATTTATACAATAATATGCTATTGAGTATTGTTTGTATTTTAAGCTCGTTCTTGGGTTTGTTTCGTTTTTGTACCCCGGATTACCAAAAACGACAAGAGCTGCGATCATGCCCATCCACGTCACTTTTGGCACTTCCATATTTATTATGGCCACCGTTGCAGCCATTTCTGGGTTGTTGGAAAAGGCAATTTTTACACTGTAAGACGGCGGTACCATTTAATGGCACCGTTCTTAACTTTAATTCTTTCAAAATAATTCGAAGTGGTCTGTATTCTGTCGAAACTGCCAGACGCGGATCGCGATTTCGATATTTTTGGATCTCATCAGCGCGTCGCAGGCAGCTCCGACAGTAATCCTTAAATGTAGCATCGTGCTACAGATGGCGTTTACTGCGCCATTTGTAGTATTTTTTAATTCTTTTGTTTTTGAACCCATGTTGTCCTGATTAAGGTCTAAAGGTCTATGGTGGATCTACCTCTGACCCGAATCAGGACAGCTTCAGGCTTCAGAAAGCCTTTACCAATTTGTCTTTTGTTTTTAGCAATAATTATGCAGAATTACCCTCCGAAGGTATAGCCATTAATTTAATTGGTATTTTTACCATTGGTTTTGCACTCTTGGTACTGTATCTGGTAAACGATGCAGACTACAAGCGTCACAATTTACCCGAAGATGGAATAAATTTGGTCGACGAAACCCATAGCAGTTAAATCTTACTATTAATAATAAGAAACTTGGTGCACAATTTATTATATTTTTCCATAAAAAAGATAATATTTTTCTGTTTGGTGCTAAAAAATGAGGTTTCTTCTATGTGCATAAATAGGTGTGTATGTACTCTTGATGGGTGCTTTCTATGTCAGGTTTTAACGGGTATTTTTTTTTTGGTTCTATTTGAGATCTGCAGTTATTTTTTGATATAGCACGTTTTATATTTAGGTACTTTTTTCCATATACAATTACGTATAGATATAAAAATAATTTAAATAATTATTTGTAGCTATCAAACGCGAAATCTACGCAAAAAATTGTGATTTTTGGGGTTGTTACAACACTATTTTCTCATTTTTATGTGATACTGTCCCATAATTTCCCGAGACTTATTTATACATACAATTTTCTTTAAATTGTTACGTGTTGCATTAGAAAATATATCTATCTATCTATATTACTACAACTATGAAGAAAAATAATAAATACTATTGGTATTGTGTTTTTATTATATACAGTGTGTCACAAAAGACTATTATGGATGGATAGAAAGTAATTCTTTTGTTTTCTTGGTTGCGGAGTGGTAGACAGTGTTTTTGTTACAAACCCTTATTGAAATATACGGCACAGGCATAGGGCCGCTGCTTGGTCGCAGTTTTCGCTTTAACTTCTTCCTGCGCCTCTTCCTCGAGGTCTCTGAACGTAATTCTCTGGTAAGGTTTAAAAAGTGCCAGACACGTCGGTATCGAAATGGCATAGCCGACTGCTTGAAGAGCCAGCTCGGGACCGAAAGTGTTTTTAAAATGGATACCCTGCTTTATTAAATAATCGATTACAACCGGGGTTCCCAGCATGGGCAAGGCAGACATGGCAACACGGGTCGCCACCACTTGCATTATTGCCCTCTTGGCGGCTGTTTTCGATCTGCCGACCTTCTTGCCGTTCTCATCGAACAGAGTCGCCCCGTCTTGCAATTCGTTTCTCCGCATCAGTGGAACGTTGACGAAATGGGCAGCCGAACACCCTATGTATGGTACGAATCTTCCCACAACGGGTGATGCAGATTTTGCCAGACGCTTGAAGATGAGAGACACGGAAACCGCCCCGAATACGGCCGCGAGATAGCATTGCATTATGAGCGCGGTTGAAGTTTCGCTGTCGCTGCTTCTGTTCGTGTAATTGACTAACGCGTTGAACGATTGGTTTATCCATTGCCAAAACACCACGGAAAACATTGATTTGTAGAAATATGTGAGACACGCAGCGAGAACAGTGTTGGCCGGTAATTGGGCCGACATCCTGCCCAGAGTTGTTTGTTTTTCGCCAGTTCCAGGATGAAAAGCAGACTCGTAGAGAATTTTGGCCCGATAGAGATCTTCCACTTCGATGCACGAGTTCTGTTTCCCCTTCTTCCTCTGTATTTCGACTATTGTTTTGGCCCTGTCCAGTTGGGCATTGGTGGCGAATGCGTTCAATGGGTTTGTTATGTAGAAGAAATACTTGACACGACCTATGTAACTATCCATGTCATACAGTGGTTTGTCTATGTCCACATCTTCGACATTGATTTTGACCTTTTTATTTGAAAGCATTTTAATGGGTTAATTTTTTTACACACCTCAATTTTGTTCTGTATCATTACTTCTAATGACATTTGCCAAAATTTGACGCGTAACGGATAATCTGATCGATTGTCCAAAGGTCCGTCTACACGAAATTTGGATTGGATAATGTACGCCTATCATAAACCTTTATTAAAATAGACGTATGTCGAAAAAGGAGCCAGATCGGTTGTATGTTTTATCCTTTGGACTTCCTTTCGGACAGAATCTTCCAATTTGTTAAGGTCACAATCTTGATACTGTTTAAAGATGGCGCAACCCAAAGGGGTAGCAATGGCGAACCCCAGCCCCCCCAAAACCAGTTCTACAGCGAAAAGATTCTTAAAATTGCCCAATCTTCTTCCGAAAGTTTGCATCAAAATGGGAACACCAAGCATGGACGGCAATGATACCATCATTCTTGTGATAACAACTTGAACTATAGCAAGCCTTGCAGCCTTGGTAGATTTACCGATTTTGTTGCCATTTTCGTCGTATATGACGATCCCATTGCGTAACTCGTTCTCCCTCATCAATGGTACGTTGACGCAATGGGCTGCCGAGCAACCTAGGAACGGTACGAACCTTTTCGTGAGGGATGATGAATTAGCGGTTAATTTTTTGAATACCAGGGCTACTGTAACTGCACCAATAGTCGTTGACATGTAACTTTTGATAATTTGTTGTGTTGATATCTGGTCGTCACCGCTCCTGTTCGTGTAGTTCACCAGAGCGTTGAAAGACTGAGCGACCCATTGCCAGAAGACTATTGAAATGGTTCTTTTGTAGAAGAACGTTAGGCAAGCAGCTAAAACTGTGTTTGCTGGTACTTGTGCTGACATTCTTCCCAGCGGAGTTTGTCTTTCCCCTGTTTTCGGGTGGTAGGCGGAATCGTAAATAATTTTCGCTTTATATAAATCCTGTGGAGTCAGTTCGTCCTCTTGGGGAAGCCTTTTTCGTTGTCTTTGGACGATTGATTTGGCTTTTTCTAACTTTTCTCGCGTGGTTAGCAAATTTAAGGGGTTGGTTATTTCGAAAAAGTATTTGCATCTTCCCCAGTAACTGTTCAAGTTATGTTTGGACTTGTCAATATCGATCGACGAAACTGCTGAGTACATATCAGAGACTTTTTTCGAAAATTAAGACATTTGGAGGTTATATTTCGGAAAAGGGAGGCTTATCAAATTCTATAGAAACCGCTAAGTAGTTTATTAACTACCTAGTACTGTGGCAGTATGATCAAGGAGACAAAGGACAAAACAGGGGAAAAAATTATAGAAAACAAAGGAGGGGATTTTTGACATCAGAGTAAAAGTGGCAGAACTTCTGTATTTAAGCATTTTGATATCGATCGACGAAATTGTTTTAGAAACGTTTCTTCAAAAATTAAGACTTGGTTTTAGGTTTATAGAAAACAAAAGAAGGGATTTTGATTGATCCAATTGATGTATAACAAGACGATGTACTTCCCCAAAAGGACAGTTTCGGTTGACTTAAGGTGGTGTTTGGAACAGTAACTGATCGTAGTAGGCTTCTCTGCAATGTTACTAAGCAGTGGATAATCACGTCGAACATTATTGGAATTAAATTATGAGAAGAAATTGGTCTTGGGATAGAAATTCCTGTGGGAATTGTAGTAGATGATCATTTTCATATTTAGGCTTTTGGTTCCCTAAAGGATTCCGGAAAGTTAGGGCTACAATCCAGATCGGAAGTGTAACGGCTTAGAACATTTGGGTTCAGTTAAGGATACACAATTGATCCAAATGGGGCTATCTCGTGGAGACCTGATTCAGGTCTGATCAAGTTATCTGATTTAGGTAAGATCAGAGATGTATCTCAAAGCATTTGGGCCCAAGCAAGCAACCGGGTTTAGTCTGGATGTTGCCCGATTGGTTATATTATATGGTTCTGATCAAGAATGTGATTGGTGACAAAACAAGGGTCAAAAGGTTTATAGAAAATAAGGGGGGATTTTGGACATTAGTCAAAGAGCAAAAATGGTACTAACTGCTACATTTAATCATTTTGATAACTGTATTTGTCAAGAGACGATTTCTCTTTCTTAGTAAACATAATGTGTGTTTACACAACATTATTGACCGACCTATGACATGGGATTTTCGATAAAATTACAACAGTTTAGTTTCGTTAGTGAACTGTAGCGACAAGATGTTGTTGAAGCGCGTGGCAATTAAACTTCGCAGAAACTATTTCGTCAGGCATTTTTCGGTGGAAAGGGGATCGAAAACAGCCCTGTTCGATTTCCACTTGGAAAATGGGGGTAAAATGGTGAATTTTGGCGGCTACGTCCTACCTTTACAATACACCGATCAGAGTATTGTACAATCGCACTTACACACAAGAAAAAAAGCTTCCCTGTTTGATGTTTCTCATATGTTACAAACCGAATTAACTGGTATGTACGTACTACATGTATTATAGAACGAGTTAAACCGCTCATTTTATTAATCGTTGTAGGGTCGGATTGCGTTCAATTTTTCGAAAAACTTTGCACGTCTGATCTTAACAATTTACAAAACGATGCTGCTACCCTAACAGTTTTCACGAATCACAGGGGTGGAATCATAGACGACCTGATCGTCACCAAAATTAATCAGAATCATCTTTACATCGTTTCGAACGCTGCCAGAAAAGAGAACGATAAAAATTTGATGATCAAGGCTCTAGTAAGTTTAAGTTCTTGGAATATAGATCTAACAATAAATAATTAGTATATTGTATACTATGGTTTAGGAAAATTATAAATCGCAAAACCCTAAATCGGATATCACATTGCATTTTTTCGAACCCAAAGACAGATCCTTGTTGGCTCTGCAAGGTCCTGCAGCTGCCGAGGTCCTTCAACAAGAAACAGACGTAAATTTATCGAAATTGTATTTCATGCAGTCTACCACAGCAACGGTGGCTGGTTGTGGGTTATGTAGGGTGACCAGATGCGGATACACTGGCGAAGATGGCTTTGAAATATCCATCCCATCGTTCACGACAGTGGACGTAGCCAAAGAACTCGTCAAGAACGACTCAGTAAAACTTGCAGGTCTAGGAGCTAGGGATTCGTTAAGGTCAGCCCACAAAAAAATCTAAACCTTCCGAAATAACAAAAAAAAAATGTTTTGTCTAAAGGTTAGAGGCCGGTCTTTGTCTGTACGGAAACGATATAACGGAAGACACGACTCCAATCGAAGCAGGTCTTACATGGTTAGTGTCGAAATCGCGTAGAGAACGCGGGGATTTCCCCGGAGCCGAAATTATAGTGAAACAAATTAAGGAAGGGGTTACCCGGAAAAGGGTGGGGTTGGTAATAAAGGCGGGAGGACCACCTGCGAGACACGACGCCCCTATATTGTCCCGAGATGGTTTGGAAGAACTGGGTGTAGTCACTTCCGGTTGCCCCGCTCCGTCTTTGGGCGTTAATATTGCCATGGGGTATGTTCCAACTGAGTATAGTAAAGTTGGAACTCGGGTATGTCTTAAAGTAAGAGACAAGGTTTATGAGGCCGAAGTTACCAAGATGCCTTTCGTAAAGAGTAATTATTACTCAAAACCCAAGTAATAAATAATAACATTATCTGTTTGAGTTTTATTTTGTACACTTTTAAGGGAAAATTGTGCCATTTTTTGTCCTTTATTTGTCGAGGAATACAAAATAAATTTAAAAAACTGCAAAAGCTTTTAGGGATTGTGTAAAATAATTTAGCTTTCGTACTTCAGATGGAGCTACAGGTACCAAAAGCACAAGATAGATAGTTAAATTTAAAGTATTTGTTTAATATATTACTTGAAATTGTTTATTATAAATTAAATTTAATACTCCATTCGCCTGAAGGTTGCTTAGGTACTTTTTTAGCCTTATAATCCCAAAATGCCGTATTTATACTAGTAGAAAACGAACATTGGGTTACAACAGAATAGAATAATTAAGCATTTATATTGTAGATGGCGCCATGTATTCCAAAAATATACATTATACTTTAATTCAAAATATTTGTTTAATATATCACTTGGAATTGTTTTTTATAAACTACATTTAAAGCTTCATTTGCCTGAAGATTGCTTACGTACTTTTTTAGACTTATGAACCCAAAATGATGTATTTGTACCAGTACAAAACGAAGATTGGGTTACATCCAAATAGAATAGTTAAGCATTTATGCTGCAGATGACGCCATGTATTCTAAAAGTATGCAGTATATATACTTTAATTCAAAATATTTGATTAATAGGGTGCTTGAGTTGTTTTTTATTAAAAAACATTGTTAATGTAGCCATTCCTTTGTTTTAGAATATAAGATAAACAAAATAGAAACTGTTGAATGTTTAGAATTGTTTGGAATCACTAAATTTCTTTACTATAGATGACGCCATATGTACCGAAGGTACTCAGAATATAATTGATTCAAAATCATTAGTTAATGTTGATTGTTGTAAACAATTTTCGATAAAATACAACATAGTATTATCATCCCTTCATGGTTTTTATTGTTGTTGGACAATAACCATCCCAAAATTGTATAATTGTATAACCAAAATGGGACTATGATACATGTACCATGAAATTAGTGTGAATGATTAGATGTTCGAAGCGTTCGTAATTTATAAGCACTTTTGAAACAGGGTTGGGGGCACGGGGCAAACTATTAATCAATAACATCTTCTGAAACTCTTAATCAATTTCCATCGTCTCTCAGCGGTCTAGTTTCGGGAGTATGTGAGGGTGGTTGCGTTTGAAGGATTAAACTCCAGTTGATGTATAATAAGACGCTGTACTTCCCCCAAAAGGGCAGTTTCGGTTGTCGTGGGGTGGTGTTTGCGGTTATGTCGTAAGCACCTAATAACTCATGGGGTTGGGAGGGTGGAACAGTGACTGATCGCAGTAGGCTTCTCTGCAATGTTACTAAGCAGTGGATAATCACGTCCTACATTATTGGAATTAAATTATGCCAAGAAATTGGCCTTGGGATAGAAATTCCTGTGGGAATGGTAGTAGACGTTTATTTTTTCATATATTTTGTATTTAGTTCTCCAAAGGATTCTGTGGATTATCCCGACTGGAAAGTTGGGGTGACAATCCAGATCAGAAATGTAAAGGCTTAGAACATTTGGGTTCAGTTAGGGATCCACAGTTGATCCAAATGGGGCTATCTTGTGGAGACCTGATTCAGGCCTGATCAAGTTGATTTGGATCAGATCAGAGATGTACTTTAAACCATTTGGGCCCAAGCAAGGAACCAGATTTAGTCTGATTGGGGTTGTCCATGCCGAACCTATGCCAGGACCGCATCGAGTATCTTTGTCGGCTCAGATTGGATTATATAATTTGCTATATGAGGTGACCTTAATCGGGTTATATTTTTTTGACCCTGGTAAAAATCTTTGGCCCCGATAAGCGGCTCTGTTGTTCGTCCTACATTACGCAAATTAAATGTAGAATCCTTCCGAAGACAATTATCCTTGATGGCGTGTACGTAAAATATTTTTGATGATTTCAAATTTTCTTTTATTTGTTACTTTAAAAGTAGTTGTGTGCAAGTTATACAATAGAGAAAATGTATTCTCTGCGAATGGTTTGTTTGTTCTTATTGGCTAATCGGTTATATGATTAAATACGTGGTCGTACGGCTGAATGTAGCTGCAGAGTCTGCAGCTCGAAGCGAATCAATTGTTTTACGTGTTCGACTGGAAATTTGTTACATTTTTGATACTGCCCAATTTAGATAACTTGATCAGGGCAGTTCCACTGAATCTTGAACTAAACGGGTTTAACCGAAATTATGTAATATAAATTAAAATTAATCGTCGCCATTGTTAAAGCGGTGGTACTTGAGAAAGCAACGTCGGTCAGGATGGCTTAAAAGCGAGCTGTTCGAACGTAAGGAGTTAAAAGTGCAACTTTGTTAAAAATTTAAACTTCAATAAAGAAAAGTTTAGACCGTCGAGAACCGGAAAGTTTTTAACGCTGTCAAAGAATCAAGTCAAACAGTATTTCCGTTTATAACATCGTCTTGCTGTTCTCGCTCTCTCTTTTTTTTTTTTTCGCTTGGAGAAAAACTTTTTCAATAAACCAGGGATTTTGAATTAGAGTTATTTCAAAAGGATTTCTTCCTTTGTACCTAGTACTCCTTTCATATTGGACGTCTTAAAATAATTTATTTATACTTTTCAAAGGATTTATTCTGCGTGAACCTTACAATAGTGTGCGCAAGGTCCTTGACATCAATGCTCAAACTCAAAGGCAAAAATTCGTAACAGATAAAGTAGTTGCGAGGTGTTCGGAGACAAAAAAGTTTGTGTCAACGACATTTTGTTTTGCTGGAAAAATGAAAAACAAACGAAAGTACACGGTTACAGTATCCCAACATCCTTGCGTACGTTTTTACACGCTTTGAATTTTGACCTTCAACTTACCGCAATGTTATTGCATATCAGGTGTTAACTTTTTATTTTCTTTGTAATTATTATCTAATTGTAAATGTTACTGTATTTAATGTATCAGAATTTTTAATCTTGTAAATAAAGGATTAAAGAATGAAAGCTAATAGTTTTTGACAGATATTTACACCGATATTTTCCCCGTGTGAGACCGGGGTTTTAGAATAGTCTCACCGCCAAGTCTCAGCGTGTCGTAGGAGGCGACAAAACGAGACAAATTCCGTGCTTTCGGTGAATAAAGCTCTCAGATATTTTTGACAGATACTTACACCGATATATTCCCCGTGTGAGATCGGGGTTTTAGAATAGTCTCACCGTTAAGTCTTAGTCTGTNGTTAGCTTTTAAATCCAAATTGATCAGCCGTATGTAGAATTTTTGAAATTGACTTAGTATTTTCAACCTGTAACAGTAGTTACAGGGGTGTATTTAGTCATATTAGCAAATTTTTATTACCTACGGTTCTAAGGTACTGTCAGGCTTTAGTTCAAAGCAATATTGTTAGAGGACACTGTTAAATATCGTAGTAGTTTTCGTTCACTTAGAGAAAGGTACACTATGCTGATTATTCGAGGCGCTGGAGACTTCCGGTTGGCCTTCGATCGGAAACATCTGACGGGTAAACAACCGGTTATATTACCCGCATCGTCCACGCTGTACCTTTCTCTAAGTGAACGAACTATACGCCTAATCATTGTGACCAGCATTCAAAATTGGAAATATCAGAGAACTGTATTAGGCATCTACATACGTTTGTTGCATTTGGCACCTTGGTGTACCAATTAAAGACAACCGTGCTGCTGGACGTAATTAAAATGGCAACTTTGGTCCAGTTATATGCACCTACATGTTACAAATTTGTGCTGTTCTCGATTCAATAGTTAATTGCGTTATTATAGTGAATCTAGTTAAGGTAACAACTCGACAAGTCAACTGCTAGTAGTAGTAGTGGTAGTAGTAGTTGTTGTTGTTGTTGCCGGCCACTTCGTCGATGCATTAATTGAGCCATTATTTTTAACCTCATTACCTAGTGCCATTATTAACTAAGTTTAGCACAAGTCGAAGCAGGCCGGGCAGGAACGGGTGCAATTGTTTTATTAATCAAAGTAGAAAGTCAAATGAATGCATTGTATACACCAATCAAGGGGCACGACGGAGGGGCGGAATCTGTCGGTACGTAATGATTTTTTATTTAAATATATGTTATTATTTCTATATATGTCGAGTCCCTTCAATTAAAAGAAGTTACTTCCAATATGCTCGCGAACTATTAATTTAGAAATTGGAAAAAGATTGTTAAAGGGCGCTGTACGGGTGCGAAACATGGACGGTGGGCGAGGCGGAAAAGAAAAGGTTAGAAGCTTTCGAAATGTGGTGTTACAGGCGAATGATGAGGATACCGCGGATAGAGAAGGATAGAAATGAATTAGAAAGAATAGGAGAATAGAGGATTCTATGGAAGTCAATAAAAAATACGCGATAGGTTGATAGGCATGAAGGTCTAGTCAGAGACCTATTAGAGGCAGAAACGGGAGTTAAGAGGAGTAGAGGTAGACATATAGTTGCGGATGTGCAATGTTATTGGTTTAGAGAAATGCGAAGATTAGCTCAGGATATGAAAGAGTGGAGGTGCGTGTCCAACTAGTCTTAGGACTGATGATGATATGTTAAAGGATCAATTATCATTTGTAAAAGTTATTATTCAACAATACTATTCGACTTGTTCCTTTTCAGTAGCTAGGAAGAACGAATTCCCTGACAGGATCCAAAAAAGAACAAGTATAAGGGAAGATTTAGACATGGCCTATATGGGTTAGAAGTTAATTAAGATTTCGATTAGTTAATTCTATGATAACGAAGTAAAAACTATTATGATCTATCGATTAGATAAATAACTAAAATCATAGAAAGTAAATTTGGGTTCTTGATAAAGGACTTTAAAAGTTTTGAACATGAAGATATAGGATGACGAGTGAATTCTGAACCAAGATATATCTAATCAAGGATTATGGATGAATTGAGAACTATAGTCCAAGGTTTCATTCTGCAATTACAAGAATAAAGATTAAATCAATATGAGATAAAATTTTAATAACAAAACAAGGATTATCTACCATTTAATTTATAGTGACTCATCGATCAAAAAAGGAAAAACACTGAGCTTTCTTTATTTAAGATATAATGAAAATTTTTAGGTCGAAGAGATAGGACGATGTACGAATCAGGATAATACACATAAAAGAAATAATAGCACGGATTATTGAAACGTTTCTGACAGATTAAAGGGTCCTTTCTTTGTGACCAAAAACTCAATTTAAATTAAAACTTTAATTCATAGATATATATATAAAAAAGGATTGCGCAAAAGACAAACATGGGAGCAAAAACGACCTGATGTCTTATCTAATCGCACACAGCGATAAGAAAATGTGTCAGGTATTTTATCATCTGCGACTTCACGTCGTATCAGCAGTACAAAATGATAACTGATTGTATGTCGTCCATTGATTCCTATTATTACCGGACGCTATTGTTTATTACAATAATAATAATAATTATTTACTTTGAATTGTTGATTATATCCGCGAGTTTCTTCGTCGTTGTTGTCGTGGTGCGTGGTGGGGTCCGGTCCGACCGAGTTAGCAGGCGCTTTCCGCGGCAAGCGTTTTCAAGTTGGTTCCGAACGCCGAACCTGGTGCGCTTTGCTCTACACGTCCTGTCGCCGAACAAGTTACCGATTGAGAACCGTTTTCCTTTAACGTGCTTTCGTTACCGAATATCCGTTTGCCGCGTGAAGTTTGTTCGTTTTTCCGGAGTGCGCGGAAAATGTGTGGAAAATTGTCGTAGTTACGTACCTGCAGGCTAAAGGATTACTTACTACATAGTGAAACTTTAAGACGGTGGAGCTTTTTGTGTTTCTTTTTACCTACCAAGATTGTTAATTAATTATTTATCTACGTAGGTAGTGATTGTCTTGTGTTTTTTAAAAAAACAAAAAACAAAAACAATACTGTAAGATGGCCGTAACAGCAGAAACGTCGCGCTGGTGTTTAACGACGACAACAGGTTTCTTCATTCTCCTTTTCGTCGTTCAAGGTATAGATTTAAACGTTATTATAATGGGTACCAATGGTACTCGTCTACCTACCTACCTACCTACCTTTACCTATACCTCCACCTCTCCATACCTGTTCTTCGGACGGATGGTTGTTGACCCTGCTTGAGCCGTTGTTCGTTATATTATTATTATTATTATTCTTGGTGTTGTTGTTGTTGTTAGGTGGGTTTTTGGGCACAGGAAAGGTTGAAACTTGACCAGGACTACTGGCGCGCTTTACCGTGTTGTCTTGTCTATAGTGGACTTAACTTTTAAATAACGCGGGAAATTTCACATTGGTTTTTATTCGCAATGGTGTTGCTTTAAATTTTTCGAACAATATGGTCGACTCGATTAATTAATAGGTACTGACCATAGTACCATTTAAACTAAAAGATAACAGCTTTGGTACATATCTATCTAAGGAAGGTTTACTTTTTCTTTTGGTCTCTTCTTTGGGTGAAACATTCCGAATTTAATTAATAAAATAATAATAATAATAACTCTTCTCGATGAGAATTGTATGA